TGCGGCTTCACCTTGCTGGCCCGGAGGCCACACGTCCGCCCCGGAGAGGGGGTGGGGGGCGCCCGCTGCCGCCTTGGCGCGGGGCCCGGGGGGGCTGCAGGGCCCAGGAGGGCCGGTGGCAGCCTTGGCGCAGGGCTGGGAGGGCCCGCGCAGGACCCGCCACCCTACATCTCTTACTAGATTGTGAGCACAAAGATTATTTGTTTGCCTCTTTGTTTTTAGTGCTTAGTATGGTGTCCATTGAAAATTTGTTGAGTGAATTACTGAATTAGTAACTTTGTCTACTTTATACAGTGTGTTTCTTGATTTTTATTGACTACATATATTGGAAACCAAAAACTTCTAGAAAAATAAGCCTGATTCATATGTTTCAGGAGTAGGATAAAATAGCCTAGGTCCTGTTTTCTTTTCTTTTCTTTTTTTCTTTTTTTTTTTTTTTTTGAGAGATTTTTGCTATAGGGGGCGTTGCCAGACAGAGAGAGACATAGAGACAGAAAGTGAGAAATCACCCCCCAGGGGATGGTCACGCCACAATCCCTTCTCCTCCATTCTCCTCTTGGGATCTTGGGCACGCACGCACACGCACCCGGCGTGAGTTTTACGCCACTGGGTCCGGGACACGAACCACGGTCAACTACTTGGGAGTCCAGCGACATAGCCATTACACTAACTTCTGGTTCCCAGGTCCTGTTTTCTTACTTGACTCTCTGCAACCAGCGGATAGCTGCTACTTTAAATTTTGTTAAATCTCTGACATGATGTTGTAATCATCATTCATTATGAAATTCATCTATAGAATACAGTTTTTAATTTGCATCCTGCTCTTTGGTAATTTCAGGAATGAGGCGGCCCATTCTACTCACGTTTGGTGATAATGTGTGTTACTTTTAGATCTATCCAGATAGTTTCAACCCTTTTTGTATCTTACCTCTTTTTTAGGTACAAGACATCTGCTTCAGCCATGACTGTCGCTGGGTTGTGGTTAGTACCCTCCGGGGGACTTCCCACGTTTTCCCCATCAACCCGTATGGTGGCCAGCCTTGCGTTCGTACACATATGTCACCACGAGTAGTGAATCGCATGAGCCGTTTCCAGAAAAGTGCCGGACTGGAAGAGATTGAACAAGAACTGACATCTAAGCAAGGAGGTCGCTGTAGCCCTGTTCCAGGTCTATCAAGCAGCCCTTCTGGCTCTCCCCTACATGGTAAACCTAACTTTTTCTCTCTCTCTACTGCACTCTTTAGTCTTCTTCCTTTTATCTTAATTTTAAAGATCTAGAATAAAATAAAATGCTTATAGTCCACTTGTATAAAGGCAAAAGTCTTAGGCTTATTTGAGACATTCTTCTTTAGTACGTTGTTTGATAAAATGAAGCCAGTATAGTAACGGTGAGCATTGCCATACTATTTTAAGTCCTTAAGTTTTTCAGTGTTTAAGGGATATTTGATATCATTGTTATGGAATATAAAATTTGAGGGTTTTTTTTTTTTTTTTAGCAGTAGAGAACTGAACCTCATACCTGTGTATCTGAGGACATTCTGTCTTTAATGGGCCGGTACTACATAGTTTTTTAAGAACATTGATTTGGGGAACCAGCAGTTAGTGTAATGGCTATGTCGCTGGATTCCCACGTAGTCGACCGCGGTTCACGTCCTGGACCCGGTGGCTTAAAACTCACGCCGGACGCGTGTGCGTGCGTGCCCAAGATTCTGAGAGGAGAATGGAGGAGAAGGTATTGCGGCGTGATCATCCCCTCTGGGGGGTGATTTCTCGCTTTCTGTCTCTCTGTCTTTCTCTGTCTGGCGAGCGTATGCACCCTGTAACAAAAACCTCTCAAAAAAGAGAAAAGAAAAAAAAAGAAACATTGATTTGTAGGGGCATAGTCATATGTATTTTAAGTACAGCAGCATGTACGTTTCATTTAAAAATATACATCTGTGGAATTTCTACCAAAATGTTTGAGGAAAAACAAAAAAAGACATATTTTAGTAATTTATTTTAGAGGGTATAGTAGTATAACATCCTAGTCAATAAATGGAGTGTTAGGGGCCAGCAGGAGGTGTAGTCTTGTGGCACTGGACTTCCACATGTCGACTCTGGTTTGAGTTCTGGACCTGATGGCTTGAAACTCAGGCCGAGTGTGTGTGTATACGTGCCCAAATTCCTGAGAGGAGGATAGAAGAGAAGGGACTGGGTTTGGTCATCACCCCAGGGGGTGATTTCTCACTTTATCTCTCTCTGTGTCTCTGGTGACATGCCCTGAGTAAAAATCTATCCATAAATAAATAAATAAATGGAACCTTAGCAGAATCCCCTTTTTGTGTCCCTTCTTTGAAACATTTAACTACAATTCTGACTTTTTTTATTCTTATTTTTTTCCCTTATTTTAAAAAATAGTTCTGCTGTTAAGGAAGTACCCTGAAACACTGTCGTGTGCCTTTTACATAAATGGGGTGACATAGTGTGTATGTTTAGCTTCCTAAACGTTATATTCTTGGGATCCTTTCATGTTGTCGTAGGTAGATTCAGTTCATTTCTTCCTATGGTCCTGTACAAATATGCTTGTACTTATTTATCCTCCTTTCTACTACATTTTATCTGCATTCGTGTGCTTTTCAATTTGGGATTATTATATATCATAATGCAATGAAAAAATTTCTATTTGATTCATGTTGTAAGTGTATACTTTTTTTAGTGGAAATTCTGGGTCATAATGAATGTGAATCTTTTTTTTTCCCCAGAGGTTTTGCCATAGGGCGCGTGCGCTCGCCAGAACGACAAAGAGAGACAGAGAGACAAGAAAGCGAGAAATCATCCCCAGGGGGGATGGCCACACCACAATCCCTTCTCCTCTATTCTCCTCTCAGGATTTTGGGCATGCACGCATGCACACGTGCCTGGCATGAGTTTAAGCCACCACATCTGGGACTTGAACTGCAGTTGACTACATGGGAGTCCAGTGACATAGCCATTACTCCCACTGCTGGTCCTGTGAATGTGAATCTTAACTTTGGTAGGTAACACCAAAGTAATTGTACCACTTCATTCCCACCATAATGACCGAAAACTGTTGACATTATGTGACTTTTTCTAGACAATTGTAGATTTTCCTCAAAAGATGACCATTTTAGTTGTTCACTATTGGAGATTTTTAAAGAGAGATTATACTTATCATAGGAAATAATCTTTGTTTTTAAAATTGAGCTAAAATTAGCATGAAATTAAATTAACCATTTGAATATTTCATTTAGGACATATGCATTGTAATGCAATCACTGTCTTTATCTACTTCCAAAATATTTTTCTCACTCCAAAAATCACATTTTGTTTTAAAGAATTATTTAATTTTATTCATCATTATTTTTAACTTAACCAGAAAGCAACAGAGAGAGACAAAGAGAGAGGTGGGAAAGTGAGAAAGCAAGCCACCAGGTCTAGGACTCTTAACTGTGGTTGGCCATGTGGGAGTCTAGCACATTAGCCACTATGCCCCCTGCTAGTCCCAAGTCACATATTCTTCATGCAGTGACTCCCCTTTCACCTTTTCCTGAAGCTCCTAGTAATCACCACTCTACTTTATATCTCTATAGACGCAGGTGTTCTAGATATTTAATATGATACTCTTACAATATGTGACATTTTATTCCTGGTTTCTTTAATTTTTAATAATTTTTTAAATAATGTTTTTGAGATTCATCCACATTATTTTATGTATTAGTACTTCATTCCTTTTTATGGGCTGAATTATATTGTTGTATGAATATACTGTAATTTATCCATTCATTCATTAATGGTCATTTGGGTTGTGTTTCTATCTTTTGGCTATTTTGAATAATGCTCTTATGAATTTGTATGTGCATGCGTTTGTACTTCTTTGCAATTCTTTTGGCTATGTATAGCCATCCTTCTTTGTTTTAGCTTCTGTACCGACCACATTACATGTTCTTTTGTAGTACCTGATCAATTCCAGATGTACACAAGGGGATTTCAAGATGTTTATGGAAAATTGGAATTAAAGTATGAGTTTGTTTTAGTACAAAAACAAAATTAAAATCCATGCAAAGTTTTTAAATAATAAACATTTTCCATAAATTTTTGAAGACTCCTTGTATATTCTATAGGAAATTTTAAGTTAGACTAAAAAATATATAAGTTCATGGTATTTTGAGGAGAGCCTCTGTAACTCAAAAAAGTAGGATCTGTATTTTCTCCTGAGATCAGATTTTATATCTTTCCTCTATTATTTATATAAGAATAGTTGTTATTCATGTGTTTAACTTAACTAGTGACCCACAAACTCCAGGGTTAAAAAGGTTTTAGAATGAGTCCTAGATGAAAATAGTCATTTAAAAATATTTTAAATTAAAAAATAATTTTAAGGGAACCAGCAGTTAGCGTAATGGCTATGTCGCTGGACACCCACGTAGTCGACCGCAGTTCGTGTCCTGGACCCGGTGGCTTAAAACTCACGCCGGGCACGTGTGCATGCGTGCCCAAGATCCCGAGAGGAGAATGGAGGAGAAGGGATTGCGGCGTGACCATCCCCTCTGGGGGGTGATTTCTCGCTTTCTGTCTCTATGTCTCTCTCTGTCTGTCTGGCGAGCGCACGCGCCCTACAGTGAAAATCTCTGCCCCCCCCCAAAAAAAAAGGAAAAAAAATTAATACAAATTTTTGTTAAAAAATTTAAGATTAGTGGACCAGCGGGTGGCATAGTGGTTAAGTTGCTGAACACTCCCACATAGCTGACTACAGTTCAAGTCCTGGACCTGGTGGCTTGCTTTCTCACTTTCTCTCGCTCTCTCTCCCTGTTGTTCTCTTGTCAAATTAAAATAAATGAATGGATAAATAAAATTAAAATGAATAATTCTTAAAAAAATCTTTAAAAAATTTAAGATTAGAAATCTATGAGACATTGATAATTTTGGGCCATTTGGAGGAAATTTTACTTCTCAGTTATTAGGTAGAGTTTTTGGTGTGATTTTTTTTTTTTTTTTTGTATGTTTAGGTGTATAAATATAAACCCCCTGGGGCCAGCAGGTTACATGGTCATTTAGGTGCCACACTCCTGCATGGCCAACCACAATTTGAATTCTGGACTTGGTGGCTTGCAAGTCATGCATGGCACATGGGCATGCTTGCCCCAAGTCCTGAGAGGAGAGGAGAGGTGAAGGCATTGTGGCATGGCCATTCCCCCCAGGAGGTGATTTCTCACTTTCCCACTTTCTGTGCTCTTTGTTGAGTGCACACACTCTATGGCAAACACCAAAAACTAACTAAATAAATTAGGAAGACAAAAATATGGAATTCCAAAAAATATGTATGTATATGTATGCCTCCCTTTTTAAGACTTTTCTCTTCATGTTGATGTTTTTTCTTAAATTTCACCAAGGACTTACTGCATAGAAATTCAGGTTGTACGTGGGACAGCTAGCTCAGTAAGAGAAATATAGCACACGTGTATTAGTAGCAGAATTAAGCAATTAGTAGCAGAATTATAGCAATTACAGGGACCAGCAGTTGGTGTAATGTCTATGTCGCTGGACTCCCATATAGTCAACCATGGTTCGAGTCCCAGACCCGGTGACTTAAACTCATGCTGGGCACATGTGCATGCATGACCAAGATCCCAAGAGGAGAATGGAGAAAGGATTGTGGCATGGCCATCCCCCCTTGGGGGTGATTTCTCACTTTCTGTCTCTCTGTCTCTCTCTGTCATTCAGGCAAGCACATATGTCCTGTAGCAAAAACCTCTCCAAAAAAAAAAAAAAA